TCCAGGTCATTTCTAGCTTGTAATTTCTGCCTCACAGAAGAAACAGAAGGTTTTCTAAAGATTATCATCCCCTCATTGGAGAAGCCCCTTTCAGTTTTTCTAGCACTTTGACACTTGCCCACAGGAAAGGGCTGCACCCCTGTGGCACGCCCTCAGCCCTGCTCCCAGGGGCAGAGAGGACCGGGTAGAGAAGGCCCCCTCACGGACGCCCCCAGGACTGGCTCAGCTCCCTTCCACCCCCCTGCAGTCACCTCCAGCTCCAGACCAGACTGAAGGCCCAGAACATTGTCAGGACAGGAGGTGGTGTCTTCTGGGAGACTTCTAGAAAAGTAGTTGCCAAAAAGAAGCTGTTGTGGGTTGAGCCAGCCCAGCCTCAGGCAGGGGAGATGTGCTGCCGGATCAGCAGTCTCCTGGCGCTTGCAGAGGAGGCCCTGTGGCCACCGGGCCCCATCAGTAGGGACAGCACCACTTTCAAATGCAGTAGTCTCCCCCATCTCCCTGTTAATGTTTCAGCAATTCTAACATTTGGAGACCAAAGTGCATCTCCCAGCCGGCTGCGTGAACATAGGACAAGTGCCAAAATTCGTCTCCAGGCCTGTCGGGTTTGGAAAATGAGCTTAATCAGCTGGTCAGCAGAGGAGAGCAACATTTATTGAGCACCTACTACATGTCGCGCTTTGAGGAAGAAGTTCTACCATTACGACGAGATCGCGATTCTGATAACAACCCCATTTTACACATGGGGAAACCGAGGCTCATGGTGGTAAGTTAACATGACCAGGGACGAAGCAGAGCTGGGATTCAAACCCAAGCCGGGTTTCACATCCCCAGTCCCGGCGCCCCCGCTCCCCAATCCCCACCCCGCCGTGATGTTCTGGGCGGCCTGGCTGAGATCACTGACAAATGCTTTGACACCACCGTTTCATACCTCAATCCCCAGGCCCCTCTCATTATTACCCCAGGCTCCCCAGGCCTGGGGATTGAGGAAGGGAATCGGAGGGGAGACTAATGTAGTCTGGCACTTAATTGTGTGGTCCACGTTGTCCATGAAGAAACTGGCTTTGGGTTTTCTGGTCCATGTCCTGGAGAATTGGGCTGTCTTGACCCCAATCCTCTGATCATCCCTGGGGCACGGCAGGGGAGAGGTAGAAAAATCAGTTTTCTGAGGCTGCTAAGCTGAAGGCCAGCCCACCAGCCTGGGGCAACCCCGCTGGCGTGAGGACCACACCCCTGGGAACCCAGCCTGAGCCGGCACCTGGGCTGGGCCCCTTTTCTCTTGGTCATTCCTGTGGCTCCTGGCTGCAGCCTCCTTCCCTGCATCCTGCCCCGTCCACCTTGCAGGGTCTTGGCACACAGCCTGGGTTGGGGTGGTGGGCCCACTGCACAAACCTCTGGAAACCCCTTTTCCCTCCCCTGACTCCCCAGAATTCCTCAGTCAGCAGTGCAGCTGTGGGGTGGGTAGAGGGTGGATGCAGGGGAGAGGGCACCACCCATCCCGCTCCCGGGGGGCGGGGGGGGCCTCTCATCTGCTTTGTCTGCACAGTTGCAGGGAAAGGACACCCCACCTTAAGCTCCCGGCCCCCTGAAACACCTACCTGGCCACATCCTTCCTCTTGCCCTTCACAGGAAGCGCCCATCGGACGGTGGGGAGAGCAACCTCCCAAGCGCCACTGTGCCCCAGAGGCCTCTCCCTCCACCCTCCCTCATCCCTAAGCCGTATGATTGGCAGGCTTCCTTTTCTCCATCCTGAGTGGGGAGCCAGATCACAGAGACGACAGTGACTTGTCCAAGGCCAGGCAGCCAAGCAGTGGTGGGCATCACTCCTGGATGCGGCTGACTCTGGAGTTGGGGTCCTTTCTCCCAGTACAGTGCAGTGCTCAGGGGTGCAGGTTCAGGATCAAGACTGCCAGACTCGGGCTTCCCTGGTGGCACAGTGGTTGAGAGTCCGCCTGCCGATGCGGGGGACATGGGTTCGTGCCCCGGTCCGGGAAGATCCCACATGCCGCGGAGCGGCTGGGCCGGTGAGCCATGGCCGCTGAGCCTGCACGTCCGGAGCCTGCGCTCCGCAACGGGAGAGGCCGCGTACCAAAAAAAAAAAAAAAAAAAAAAGACTGCCAGACTCGAGTCCTGGTTCCTCCACCTCCTTGCTGGGTCACCTGGGGTTGGTTACTCAAACTCTCTGTGCCTCAGTTTCTTCATCTATACAATGTTGTTAGAGAGTCCCTGAGTTCAAACCCTGTGTTAGCTCTGTGGCACTGGGCAAGTGATTTAAGCTGTCTGTGCCTCAGTTTACTCCAATTTTAAGTGGAGATATTGATATATATACAGCAAGGTTGGTATGAGGATCAAAAGTGACAACGGTATGTCTAGGGCTTTCTGGCAGGTGGTGACAGGCAGGCCCACGGGGACTGCTGGTTGTTTGTGGTCAAGGTGCTCTGTGGAAAGATGCACAAGAAACAGGTCTCAGAGGGCATCTCTGAGGGAAGGAAACTGGGCGGGGGGGACCTTAACTTGTCTCTATATGTTGTTTTGTACCTTCAGAATTCTGTATTACAAACGTGTAGAATTACTATTTCCAAAGTTGATTACAAAACTATTGTACAAAGATGCTCTCTAGTGCTTACACACAGCCTTGTGCTGGCCAGAGACCCCATCTCTCGGGTGCCCCCTTCCTGCTTGGCCTACCCCTCCATAGCCACACCCAGGCCTTGTGTAGGCCCTGCCTTTTAGCCCATTCCATGTCTCCCAGCAAGTCCCCAGAACAGCCTCAAGGGCCATGAGCACTGGCCTTCCAAGCACAGGCCTGTCACTTTTACCGAGAGGGACGTGGGCTGAGTCTCTGTTCCTCCACCGTCTCACCTGTAAGTGAAAATGCTGGTATCTCCCCCACAGGGTGACTGTAGGGATAAAGTAAGGTGCTAATTCGTGGAAAGGGCCAGATACAGTCCCGGCCCAGGGTCTCCCTCCTCCCTCCTGTCCTTTGAAAAGGGTAAAATGATGTTGAAGAAAAGCTGCCAACTTCTCGGAGCTCATCTCTACCCACGAAGCCCCCTCCAACCCTGCAGGTGGACCGCAAGCCTCCAAAGCCAATTCCTGCCTCCAGGCCTTTGCACCTACTGTTCCCTCCTCCTGGCCTATTTTCCCCTGATCTTCCCATCACTCAGTTTCTCCCAATGCTGCCTCCTCTGAGAGGGTCACCCTCTCTAAAATGGCCCCCCACCCCCTCCCTTATCTCTTGCCCCCCCCCCACCGCCCTTGATTTTCTTCCTGGTACTTACCATTACCCCAAGTTGTATTTTTTGTTTCTTTTTTTTTGGCTGCACCGCCCACGCAGCTTGCAGGATCTTAGTTCCCCAACCAGGAATTGAACCAAGGCCCCTTGCAGTGAAAGCATGGAGTCCTACCCACTGGACTGCCAGGGAATTCCCCTTTTTGTTCTTTTTCTTTTTTTTCCAAATTGTATATTTTGAATAAACTATTTTTAGGGAATAATTTTAAATTCACAGAAAAGTTGCAAAGACAGTACAAAGGGTTCCTGTATATCCTTCACTCAGTTTTCCTAATGTCAGTCCATTACCTAACAGTGTTACATCTGTCAAAACCAAGAAATTAACACTGATATATTACCATTGACTACACTGCAGACCTAATTCACATGAAATTGTACTTTTCCTTTATTTATTACTTGTCTTCAGCTGCTTCCCCCATGGGAAGGGAAACTGAAAGCAGGGAGGTCACCTCACTCACTCACCACCAACTCCCTCATACCTGGCAATAAATATTGATGGATAAATAGAAGGGAAATAATGGCCAAAACGGCCAGTGATTACGGAGGACTCCCTCTTTTCTGAGTGCACTAAACATGGTAAATCATTTAATGCTCACGACAACCCATGAGGTCGCGGCTACTTGTGGGGAAACTGAGGCCAGTGCAGTTTGGTGACCACACAGATGGTCAGCACCAGGGCAGACAGGCTCTGGCCCTTCCCTCAGGAACCGGAATAAATGCCCATCCTTCCAAGTCCTTAGTCCACGTCAGAGCTGGGGGTCGGCACCCTTGTGCGGCCAGGATGCTGAGGCCCCAGTGTGGCTGATTTGCCTGAAGCCACAGATGGACCAGAGCGCAGGGCTGGGCTGGAACCTGAGCCTCCTGCCTCCAGCTGGCTGCCCCGAGGCAGCAGCTGCCCCTGCTCTGCAGGAAGGGTGTGGGGTGTCGCTCCCAGGGCTCCCAGCCCCGCCCTGCTTCAAGGAAACAAGAGTGCCCGGTTCAGCCACAGGCTGTGGGCTCACTCGTGGGCCCCCGACCCCCAGGGCCCTTGCAGACGCAGAGCGCAGCTGAGACTCCCCCTCCCACCACTGCCCTTTGCCCGTGGCCTGGGCCTCCGGGATCTGCGGCTGGGGGAGGTGGGGTTGGAGGATGGACCCTCTCCATCCCGGAAGATGCAGCCTTCTCGGGGGAGCCTGCTGGGCTCTGGGACAGGGAGGAACAGGAAGAAATGGCCGTCCCTTTCCGGATGTGGGGTGGGAGCAACACCTCCCAAAGGGAAAAGCCGGCCCCAGCAGGCGCACAGGACTGAGGCCACCCCCGTCCAGCCTGGGTTCCGCCCAGCGCCAGCCTGGCGCAGGCTCGAGGCCCTAATAATGTTTGCTGGATGCCTTCAATACAAGCCTCGGTGCCCAGAATCTCCTTGAGGTTTCAGCCAGGCGTGCCCGCCCCATCCCCCATTCTGGGGAGCAGAATAAGTATGGGGGGGGGGGGGACAGGGGACACCATGAGGTGATGGCAGCCTCTGTGAGAGAGGCAGGCTGCTCAACCCAGAGCTGGGGGGTAGGGGCGCCTTGTGTGCGGCTAATTAAACAGTAGAATAAGTAGGGGGGGGGGGGTGACAGGGGACACCATGAGGTGATGGCAGCCTCTGTGAGAGAGGCAGGCTGCTCAACCCAGAGCTGGGGGGTAGGGGCGCCTTGTGTGCGGCTAATTAAACAGTGACTGTGATGAATCAGGGAGAGGCGGCTGCTTTGCTAATTAAACGTGCCGGCAAGGATGGAAGGCAGAAGCAGCCCTGGAACCATGTCGCAGGGCCGGGCCAGCAAGGACAGCGCTTGGCAAACCCCACGCCCCACGCTGGCTCTGGGCATCCCTTCCGGCCTCTGGCCCTCCCAGCAGGACCCCCGAGGCCCCCTCCCCACTTCCCTATCTCTCCTACCCACCTTGCGGGAGCCAGGGGCCTCGGACTTCCCCCTCCCCACCAACCCAAATCCCTTTCCTGATAAGGGGCTGGGCCTTGGGGAGAAGGAGCCTGTTGGTGCCCAGCGTCTGGCTGGTGGGTGGGCATCATTCTGAGCCTTTGAGTACTCCCCATCACCCCCCACCAAGACCCCAAAGTTGGGCAAACGAGTCCAACCACAAGAGGCTGGCTGTTGGGAACGAGGCCCCAGGATAATTTTTAGAATCATAGATTCTGAGACTCATGGGCTTAGGCATCACCCAGTTTCTGCCAGGGTCCTGCTTTGCCCCAGATGCCCTGGTGTATGAGAGAGACTGAGGGAGGCTCTCCTTTCTGGCCTCAGTGCTCCAGTCCTGAAACGGGAAGGTCAGAACAAATGATCTCTGGTCCCTGAAGATTCCTATAGAGTGGACAGAAAGACCCCAGGGCTGCCCATCCCTGCCCCGTGTCGGCTTCGGCGAGCAGGCTCAGTAGCTAAGAGCACGAGCTGCAGAGGCCAGACACCAGCGTCCAAGTCCCAGCCCCAGCACTGGCCAAGTGTGTGACCTCAGGCAACGTAGCTAATTGCTGCCTGCCTCAGTTTCCCTGTCTGCAAGGCTGGGGATGGTCATGCTGCCTACTCGAAGGGTCACAGAGGGGATCAAGAGAGAGAATCTGGGTGAGATACTCAGCGCAGTGTCTGGCCCATGGAACAGGCCCAGGAAATGTCTGCCATTGTTATTTGAAAACTGGGGCACTCGGGAGGGTGTGGCCTGGCGCCTGCCTCTCCTCCATGTGACCTCCGCGTGCAGCCCTGTGCTCTGAGGACAACCGCCCGTGACATGGGGAGAGCATGTCACCCTTCACTCCAGGGCTCTCACACTCTCTCTGACCCTGGCAACCTTCTGAGGGAAGTAGGGCAGCAAAGAAGAAAACAGAGTGGAAGCTCAGAGAGGCTCAGCAAGTGGCCCAAAGCCACACAGCTACGTGAGGGGCAGAGGCAGCCCCAGTCCTTGAGTGGGAGGACAGGATGGGATAGGGACTCCCGTGGTGACATCTGTTGAGCTCCTACTGGATGCCCAGTCCTGAACCAGCTGCCACAGAGGGAAGTGAGGAGCATGGGAGAGTCACTCTGCCTGCAAGGGGGCCCGGTCTGGAAGGGGAGAGAGAAAACATACACAAGTAATGGAATGCAAGGCAAGTTGCAGGCATCCGGGCGGTGGGGGGCTGTGGCATCCCTCCGGGGAACAGGCTTCGAGATGCTGCTTTGTCTTGGGGCTTGATTTGCAAAGCAAAGGTTCTGTTTCTGTTTGGAGGGTGAAATCAGCATTAGGGGAGTCTCAGAGGGCCTGATAGAGCCCCTCTGGTGCTCCCAGGAGAATCCTTCAGAAAGGAGGTGAGATACTCTGCTCTGGGAAGTGCCGGGTGGTCCCTGAGGTCTGTGGTGCCTATTTCTGTGGTTCTGGGGTCTGTCATGTGCGGTATCTGGGGGTCCTGGATGTTGTGGTTTCCAAGACTACGCTGCAGTCCAGGGCCCCCATCGTGAATCCATCCATATGCAAAATGGGCTGTGACGTGTCCCTTCTAGGCAGCCAGGCACTCTCCAGGATAGGGGCTTTGTACTGTCGGGTAATGTGGTGGGGGAAGGGTGCCTCAGCCATAAGAGGCCTAGTGACAGTGGAAACCTTTTGAGGCTGAGAAACTCAAGGCTGCTTGCCCTGACACTGGGATGCCTGGGCCTTATGCAGCCAACCCAAAGCAGACAGGGATGAGTGCAAGGTCACTGGCCTTGGGGGCGATGTCTCCATCCTCCCTTCTCAGAGATCAGTGCTCACAGGAATGGGGAGATGGCTTGAGTAGGTCTAGCCACCAGGAAGTCTGTGTAAGCAAAGCTAGTGGCTCCTGGAAAACACGCCCTGCCTCTCGGCCGCCCTAGGGCCCCCTGCACCAGAGCTGGGCCAAATGCAGGTCTGGGGCGCCCTCTGGTGGTCCTTCCGGGCAGTGGCAGAAGCAGCTGAGGGTTTAAGGGTGAGTGGTCAGAGCTGGAGGACTTTAGAGTGGACCGCCTCTCCCACTGCAAAGATGGAAACACTGAGGCCCAGGGAAGGGGGAATGGAGCAACATGCCCAAGATCATACAGCAATTTAGTGGTCAAGCCAAGAACAGAACCCAGGCCTCCCTCTGTAGCCATGGCTGCCCTTGGTGGGTCTCAAGGCATCCCTACTAGGAGAGGGAAGGTTGAGTGTCCAGGAGGCTGACTCCCCAGTGACTGTGCACAGCTGGATGGAAGGCGGCTGAGCAGCTGTGTCATGAGGTATGCAACACTTCCCTTCCCTGGCCTTAGGGTCCTCACCTCTAAACCCGGGGCTATTGTGTTGGCAAGGAGACCGGGGTCCCATTCATACACACTAGTAGTGAGGTTGTAACAAGCCAAACTTCCAGAAAATCCTAAAATGAGCCTTGCTACAGTGAGTACTGCATTTAATGGTGAAAGACTGGGTGCTTTCCCCCTGAGATCAAGAACAAGAGAAGAACGTCCACTCTCACCATTTCTGTCCAACACTGTACTGGAGGTTCCAGCCAGGGCACTAAGGCAAGAAAAGAAAGGCATCCAGATTGCAAAGGAAGAAGTAAAACTATTTGTAGATGACTAACGTATATAGAAAATTCTGAAGAATCCACCAAAAAATATTAGAACTAATGAACGATTTCTGCAAGGTTGTGGGATACAAGCTGAATATACAAAAATCAATTGCATCTCTATGCATTTGCAATGAACACTTCAAAAACGTAATTAAGGGCTTCCCTGGTGGCGCAATGGTTAAGAATCCGCCTGCCAATGCAGGGGACATGGGTTCGAGCCCTGGCCCGGGAAGATCCCAAATGCTGCGGAGCAACTAAACCCATGCGCCACAACTACTGAGCCTGCACTCTAGAGCCCGTGAGCCACAACTACTGAGCCTACGTGCCACAACTACTGAAGCCCGCACGCTGAGAGCCCGTACTCTGCAACAAGAGAAGCCACCACAATGAGAAGCCCACGCACCACAATGAAGAGTAGCCTCCGCTCACCGCAACTAGAGAAAAAGCCCACACGCAGCAACGAAGACACAACGCAGCCAAATAAATAAATAAATAAAGCCTCACATTTACAGTTAATTGATTTTCAACAAAAGTTCCAAGATAATTCAATGGGGAAGGGACAGTCTTTTCAACAAATGGTGCTGGGACAACTGGTTTCCCACATGCAAAAGAAAGGAAGCTGGACACCTTCCTCACACCCCACACAAAAATTCACTCAAAATGAATCTTAGACCCAAATGTAAAAGTTAAAACTATGAAACTGTTAGAAAACACAGGCATAAATATTCACGCCCTAGGATTAGGCAACAGTTCCTTAAATATGACACCAAAAGCACAGCAACAAAAGAAAAAAACTGGACTTCCCTGGTGGCGCAGTGGTTAAGAATCCGCCTGCCAATGCAGGGGACACGGGTTCGAGCCCCGGTCGGGGAAGATCCCACATGCCGCGGAGCGACTAAGCCCGTGTGCCACAACTACTAAGCCTGTGCTCTAGAGCTTGTGAGCCACAACTACTGAGTCCACGTGCCACAACTACTGAAGCCCACGCACCTAGAGCCCGTGCTCCGCAACAAGAGAAGCCACCGCAATGAGAAGTCCACGCACAGCAATGAAGAGTGGCCCCTGCTCTCCACAACTAGAGAAAGCCCACGCGGAGCAACGAAGACCCAACGTAGCCAAAAAATAAATAAAAATTTACAAAAAAAAATAGATAAATTGGACATCATGAAAATCAAAAACTTTTGTGCTGCAAAGAACATCATTAAGAAAGTAAAAAACAACCCATAGAATGGGAGAAAATATTTGCAATTCATATATTTGATAAGGAATTGTAACCAGATTATATAAAGAACTCTTACAACTCAATAATAAAAGACAAATACACTAATTTAAAAATGGGCAAATGATCTGAGTAGACACTGATCCAAAGAAGATATACAAATGGCCCATAAGCTCATGAAAGATGCTGAATATCATTAGCCATCAGGGAAATGCAAATTAAACCCACAAAATACTACTTTGCAACCACTAGGTTTCCTATTAAAAAAACAACAACAACAGATAATAACAAGTGTTGGCAAGGATGTGGAGAAATCAGAACCCTCACACACTACTGGTAGGAATTTAAAATGATGCAGCCACTTTGGAAAACCGTCTGGCAGTTCCTCAAAAGGTTAAACAGAATTAGCATATGACCCAGCAATTCCATGCCTAGGAGATATATATCAAAGAGAAATGAAAACATACATTTGCACAAAAACTTACATGAACATTCACATTCATAAAAGCTAAAAGCAGAAACAACCCAAATGTCTACAGACTGATGAATGGATAAACAAACTGTGGTTTAATCATGCAGTGGAATATTATTCAGCAATAAAAAGGAATAAAGTACTGATGCATGCTATGACATGGATAAATCTTGAAAACATTAAGCTAATTGAAAGTCAGTCACAAAAGTCACACACTGTTTGACTTCATTTATATGAAATGTCCAGAATAAACAAATCCATAGAGACAGAAAAAAGATAGCCCTTCTTTTAAAAAAATAAATTTATTTATTTATTTTTTTACGGCTGCATTGGGTCTTCATTGCTACGCATGGGCTTTCTCTAGTTGCGACGAGCGGGGTCTACTCTTCGTTGTGGTGTGCAGGCTTCTCATTGCGGTGGCTTCTCTTGCTGCAGGGCACAGGCTCTAGGTGCACGGGCTTCAGTAGTTGTGGCTCGCGGGCTCTAGAGTGCAGGCTCAATAGTTGACGCTCACGGGCTTACTTGCTCCACGGTATGTGGGATCTTCCCGGACCAGGGCTCGAACCCATGTCCCCTGCATTGGCAAGTGGATTCTTAACCACTGCTCCATCAAGGAAGTCCCAAGATTGTCTTTTATAGGGAATTCCCTGGCAGTCCAGTGGTTAGGACTCTGTGCTTTCAGTGCTGAGGGCTCGGGTCCAATCCCCGGTCAGTGAATTAAGATCCCACAAACCGCATGGCATGACCAAAACAAACAAAGAAAAAAAAAAAAAAGAAGACGACAGTCCTTTATAG